TTGGCTTGAAGTTGGCCTCTAGGGTTGTTTTCCACATTCCCATTGAGTTCTTGATGAAGGCTCTTAGAGTCCTGTCGATGTTGTACAGTTCCAAGCATTCCAGGATCCATGTGTGAGGCATTGAGTCATAGGCTTTCTTGTAGTCAATCCAGGCAGTGCACAGGTTGGTATGCCTTGGTCTTGCAGTCTCGAGTGCCTACTTTATCAACCAGTAGCTGGTGCTTTGCTCCTCTGGTGTTACTATCAATTCCTTTCTGGGCGCTGCTCATGTATTGAGCCATGTGCCTGCTCATCTTAGCTGCTATGATGCCTGACAGGAGCTTCCATGTTGTGCAGAGGCAGGTTATTATATAATAATAATACTTTATTTGTATAACACTTTACGGCTCCTCTGGAGAGCGCTTCACAGAAAAAGATATATTAGGAATATAAAACCAGCTACATAAACAATAAAACCAAGAGCAAAATAAAGCAGCAGCATTTTGTACCATTTGAAGCTTCCAAAAGAGAGATTGGTTGATTCCAATATAAAGGGCATTGCAGTAATCAAGTTGCGAAGTGATGAAAGCATGAATGGCTTTTTCTAAATCCACATGTGACAGGAAGGGCTTCACCTTGGTTAAGAGCCTCAGGTGAAAGAAGCTGGTTTTGACCACAGATCTAATCTGCTTGTCAAATCTGAGGCTACTGTCAAATAATACTCCTAGGTTTTTCACAGTATCAGTGAATGATGGGGCTGCGGTGCCTAAATTAAGTACAGCTACGGAGGAGTCAGGACTAAAAATGATGCATTCAGTCTTACTTTCATTTAATTGGAGGAAATTCTGTGATAGCCAATGTTTAATATCACGAAAGCAGTTTTGCAACAGGATGAGGGCATTCGAATCACATTGGATCAGTGGCAAGTAAATCTGAACATTGTCCGCATAAAAATGAAAGTGAACGTTGTGCTGCAAAATGATTGAACCAAGTGGGGACATATATAAAGAGAAGAGTAATGGGGCCAAAATCAAGCCTTGGGGGACGCCGGAAGAAAGAGGGGCTGTGGTGGAGGAATAAACGTCAATAACAACAGAGAAGGTCCTATTCATCAGGAAAGAAGTAAACCAATTTAGGACCCTGCCTCTCAGGCCAATGTAATGTTCCAGATGGGAGAGAAGAACTGCGTGATTGATGGTATCAAACAATGCCGATAGATCAAGGAGAACTAGAATAACGGGGCGCTTGGTGTCGAGAGCCAGAGTAATATCACTACGGACCTTCAATAATGCAGATTCAGTGCTGTGACGAGGCCTAAAACGTGATTGAAAATTTTCAACAACATCCAGGCATTCCAAATGAGACTGTAGCTGCAAAAAGACAATTTTTCCAAACTTTTGGATAAAAACGGCAGAAGAGAAATTGGGCAGAAATTGGACAGAAGAGTGGGGTCAAGATTAGGCTTCTTAAGGAGAGGTCTCACTGTGGCATGCTTAAGGGTGGAGGGGACAATGCCCAGCCTGAGGCAGCTGTTAAATGTGACCAGAGCGGGTCCAATAATGTCAATGACCTCCTAAATTATCCTGGCAGGGACAAGATCGAGAGGGCAGTAAGTAGATTTTAACTGTTGCACACATGTTTTAAGTTCCAGCAAAGAAATCAGAGTAAAGATTTCCAGGGTAAACTGGACAGAGGGGACAGTTGGTACAGTAGGAGTAGTCTTAGGAATACTCTGTCTAATGGCCCAAACTTTATCAATGAAGTAATTTTGGAACTTATTGCAGATCTGAACCGACCCCTCTTTAGACAGGATAGCAGCAGGATTAATCACGGATTTTATGGTATTAAAAAGAGCTCTAGATATCTAGCTTCGAGATAATGTTGGATAGGTAGTGAGTCTTAACATCTTTTACAGATTTCTGATAGGTATCCAAGCAGTCCCTTAAAATGCCCAGGGAGAAGTGCGGGCCATCCTTTTTCCATGGGGGCTCAGCCTGCCTGCAGAATCTCAGTAATGCACGGGTGGTGTCATTTAGCCATGGGGCAGGAGTAATTCTAGTTACAGTATCTTCTTCCTGAAGGGTGCGATGGAATCCATAATCCGGGAGCATGTAGAGTCAAATAAGGAGAGAAAGGCGTCAGGGCACGGAGGAGGCTTCAGAGCTTCTGAAGAATAAAAGTCAGAGACTACAAAGGCAGAAGCAAAATCAGAGGCCATTGAAGGGGTGAGAATCCTGCGACGCTGACGTAGGGTCGTGAATCTAGATGCACTTAATGGAACCAGGACATTGAAATGGATGAAGAAATGATCAGAAATAGCCAGATTTGTTATAGCCCCAACGCACACAGACAATCCTTGTGCGATGACAAGGTCAAGTGTGCCCCCATGTTGATGAGTGGGGCAAAATACTGATTGGGAGAAATCAAAAGAATCCAATAGGGAATTAAAATCATTCGCTAGTTGGTCAGAAGAACGATTAACGTGGATGTTAAAATCACCACAGATCAGAAAACTGTCAAACTGTGGGATAAGCTCCACCAAGAATTCCCCAAATTATTGGGCAGTAGTTGGATGGTACTGCTCTCTTCTGAGGGCTCTTCAGGATCAGGACTGTCCGGCCCTCAATTAACCACTCAGGGTGGGTTCCATCCATTTGTAGCTGGTTCATTTGTCTTGCCAGGCGCTCATGGAGTGAAGTTAGCTTCTTTAACCAGTAGGCGTGGATCATGTCAGGGCCTGGTGCTGTCCAGCTCTTCATACTTGAGACCCGCTCTTGAATGTCTGCTATTGTGATGAGTACTGGGTCTTGTTCAGGGAGGTTGCTGTGGTCTGCTCTTAGGCCCCCCAGCCACAGGGCATTGTTGTTATGTGATGCCTCCTTCTCTCATATGCTCTTCCAGAATTGTTCAGTCTCCAGCCTTGGTGGGTCTGCTCTCATGTTATTACCCTGACACTGAGAGTACACCTTGGATGGCTCAGTGGAGAACATTCGGTTTATTCTCCTGGCTTAAACTTCTCTGGTGTACCTCTTCAGCTGTGTGGCCAGGGCTGTGAGCTTTTGCTTGGCAGTCTCTAAGGCCTCAGGTATGGACAGTGTGTTGTACTTCTTAGCTACTCCTTTCTTCATCACGCCTTTCTGCAGTTCTGATAGCTTATACTACTCCTTGTGGCCGTTGTTGAACTTATAGCCAAGCATCTCAAGGATCACGGTTGCTGTGGTGTATACGTATGAGCTTGTTGGTTACAGTGATGGTCGTAGTAGGGATTGTTCTTAGTGCTGCATTCACATCCTCTAGTGGACTTTCAGAAGGCACTTCACTTAGTCTTGGTAACCGACCACGGGAATTCCAGGTGTCCATCTTGCTCATGATCTTCTATCTCAGGTCAGCTGCTCTTGAATCAAGCTCATCCAGGCCTGTTATTGGGGCTTGGTACCCAATCTCCGATTGTGGGGGTGATGATAATGATATCTCCCCCCTGACCTGTCGTCGTGGCTCCCCCTTGCTGGTAGTTTTTTTGCCTTGTTTCCCCATTACCTTATGGAAGCACATTGCACATGCACGTTGAGGGTCAAGCTCCTCTTTATTTGACTGGGATGCTATACTAGGTTCACCCAAAGCTAATAAGTGCATTTAGAAGCCTAAATAAGCCTAATCAAGTGGATATGCTCATCTTGCAGCTGTGAGTAGGTTTAATGCCAGTGTTTTGTCCTGGCAAACACCTACACGTGACAAACAGAACATTTCCCTCTGCTGTGACTCTGCAAAGAAACACTGTTCAGAGAAACACAAAGAGGGATTTTCTTACTAAAAAGGCTAATTTTGGAGATACCCACAAGATTTGTTTAACTCCAAATCAATTTTAGAATTAAGAATTAAGTTCAGAATTCATTTTTTTTACTAGACAAATGGATATTGTATTCACTATTTTAGTAGTCATATGAGGAAGGGATCACTTAATGATTATGACCACCAGTAACTCTGTCAACACACACATGACATGAGTATTGTGTTATGATAGACTTGAACAATTTGATAATACTTGAATTTTTATCATATGAAAATTGCACACCTGACATACAGTATGTCTAAGACACAGTTGTTCAAAATGTACCTGGAAATGTTTGTTTGTTATCATTTTGTTAGAGCAGATTGTGTAGTATCAGAAACACAACTGGACTAAACGCTCTTGTACTAGAAATACACAGTTAGCCTCTTGTAATGCATATGTGATTGCAACTCATGATTCTCTAGTATTCCAATGGTAAAGGATTTAAAAGTCTGGCGATATTATATATTTTTCTTGTTGTCAACAAATCCTATGAAAATTGCAAAACTATCAGTTAAATGATTCTACAATCAAGTGTTCTATGAGTCAAACCTACATGCACAGTCCTATTGCTGGAAATACTCAGTGCACCAAATGTAGATAATGTAATTATTTGAAGATCAGGAGCGGGACCTGACCCAAACTACGCCTTTTCTGTTTACACACTATTTAGCCCACTCAAACCTCCATACTTCTGCTTTTTGTTACAGCCCCCTTTCAACACCCCCCCACCGCTGGGTGTCTGCCAATACCTGAGAGTGGCATGGACCGCCTTAGCCTTACCCAAAACCGTGAAGGTTCCAAGCATTTTCTATTTGTATGCTTCTATTTGTATCAGCTGAGGTCCCTGCTAGTGAAATTGTATGTATTCATTCACGACTAAAAATAGTCCCCAACAAATGTATTATTTCCTCCACTTTGAGTACTATTTGCTGTTAGGTAAATATTATTCCCATATAATCAGGTTACCTTCCACTTTAGAAAAGACCATCTGCAGCACAGATCACTGCTCCTCAGAGCTGGCAGCTGGAAAAACCTCCACTTCCTGGTTGTGGAACATGTGCTGTGAAATAAAAACACTAAGACTTAATTTGATAACATAATATACTACAACATTAATGTACTTATACTGCACATGCATAGAGACAAGTACTGAACAATATGTGACAATGCATCAGTAAATGTATCATATACTGTATTGACTTATGTAGTCTTGTGAGCACTGGGAAAAACTTTTTCAAAGACAAATTTTGCACTTTAAATCAGTGATTTCACATAATATAGAGGGTGTATATATAAAATACTGAATTTAAAAGGTTTATTGGACTCTAACCATTGGGGGTAACTGCATATAAAAGATCACTTACAGTGCCTTGCGAAAGTATTCGGCCCCCTTGAACTTTGCGACCTTTTGCCACATTTCAGGCTTCAAACATAAAGATATAAAACTGTAATTTTTTGTGAAGAATCAACAACAAGTGGGACACAATCATGAAGTGGAACGAAATTTATTGGATATTTCAAACTTTTCTAACAAATAAAAAACTGAAAAATTGGGCTGTTTGAAGCCTGAAATGTGGCAAAAGGTCGCAAAGTTCAAGGGGGCCGAATACTTTCGCAAGGCACTGTAATGATGAATATAAAATCAGCTGGGGACAATCTTGAGTAGAACAGAGGGGAAGTGGCAGATTTGCATTCAATTGTGCAAATTTTAAGCTTATTATGAGTTTGTTCATCAAAATAAACATGTGATTCTCACATTACCAGAAGAGCACCAGTCAAACCTCATATAGTGAAAATCTGTGTAGAAAGATGATGGGGATGTGACATTTATATTAGTTTTTGGGGATGTTAAAGTCTCCTCCTCATTCCTCATAGATCTCAGTCCTTATTTATAACCCCCATCTACAGTACGCACAAAACAGGGACTGAAAGATGCATATGCCACTTCCTGTGGCAACATTAGGATTTCTAAAAGCAAACTTGAGGGAAGAATGTGCATACCTATGCGGAAATTGAGAAACTCTGAAGGCAGATTTGATCATGATTCTTTCACAGGTTTAAGCTTATTTGATATCAAATGTATCTTCACATATCCACAACAAGATAAACATTCAGGCCAGCTGTTATGTGGAAGACACCTCAGCTGACACCACCTACATGCATAATCCACATAAAATTTATTTTAGGTTTCATCATCAGTGTACTGTATGTTTCAGCATAGATGCTTAACAAACACCAAGCAGTAGGCTTCAGTGGACCTCTGCAAACTCAGACAGTTTGCAGCAAAGCATTTAACACATCCACCTCCAAGTCTGACCCCTTTGTTTAATTTGGGGATTACCCTGTGTGTTGCATTAACAGCTGCTGTAGCTGTCTGCCTATCACATTTTGTTTTGTTTGTACCACTGCCTTCATTCTCCACAGGGGCAATGTGAATATCAATATTCATGAGTGTGGATGCGTGTGGACACACAGTTTATAATTCTGATTCTTTTTTTGGTGTGTGCCTTTTGTGTGGTTTGTGTGCACATAAACCTTTGTACCATCTTATAAATGAGGCCCCTGATGATTTAGTCTGCTGCAATTTTTGTCACTTCAGTGGAAGCTTCACTAATGTTTAAGTCACATGCTTCACATACTGTAGATGACACTTGTTTAGAAGCTGCATTTGTTTAGCAGCTGCTCTGCCATTAATGCCAATAGAAGTTTGTAACTCCTCAGCTATGGAATCAACAGATTGCTGGCGACTTTAAAGCACCATGCACCTTAGCAGTCGTTGACCCCTCTCTGTGACTTTACAGTATTACCATTTACAACTAAATGTAGACTATCTATCAGGAATGAAATTTCATGAACTGTCATATTGCAAACGTGGCATCCTATCACAGTACCATGCTTGAAGTCACTGAGCTCTTCAGAACAGCCCATTCTGGTTCACAAAATTTTGTAAATGGAGACTGCAGGGCTAGGTGCTTGATTTTATACACCTGTGGCAATGAATCTAATTGAAACACCTGAATTCAATAATTAAGACCTGTGTCCCAATACGTTTGTCCATATAGTGTATAGAGAGTAGCAATGTCTATCAACAGACCAAACTTCATCTGATCCAGATTCTAAATCTGATGGCCATTTAAAGTTAACATTGAAAACCCCATTTATCACATTTTGTGCCATAATGTGGCCTATAATGAAGATAGAACCCTGAAATGTTCCGTTAAGATGCACAGTATAACTACCTGTCATACCCTTAAAGATGATCCGGATCAATGAATTTAGGATATGCATGACCAAATGTTGTGCCTTGGCAGAGGTACTGTACATGCGCTCTCTTAGTGCCCTTGTTTACATACTGTAGTTACCCATATTGTATCTATGCCATCAGTGGATCAGACGTGGCCCTGTGTTGATGGCCTAGGGCTGTGTTCAGACCAGTATTAGGACAGCATAAAACTCCCTCCACAATCATTGCTATGTTGACACGGTAGGTATCCCAGAAGACAGCGGAGCATTTAACAGTTCCAGAGGCATATATTTCTCAGGTACTGGAAGAGACCCAAAACAGAGCTAAAGTGACATATTCATCAAGTAAAACAATGCCAAATGAATGCTTGTATTACTGTGTGTCTTCTGAACATAAAAATAAGCTACCTTTAACAATGATTTTAAAATAGGCCTTCTCCTTAAGAATGTTTGTGGCAGTATAACAATATCTGTCTACTTCCACCTTTGCGAGTGGCCATTTATTAGGAAAACAAGACATTTTTCAGCAGTTTCAAACACCCAATGCTGTTGTCTTCAAAAGGACCTTAGTCCTTATTATAATCCTCAATTTTGAATATCTAATAAGGGTGCATTATTTATATATCTTGGGGATGTTAACAATGTAGCTTAGCAGAGAAGCTGCAAACAGCTTCCTCGAAGCTCTGTTCATATGTTAATTATATATACAGTAGTGAAACTATATGACTTACTGATTTGAGGTTGGGCTCCATCCCTGTGAAGTTCCATTCAGTCAGAGGTAGGCTTAGACTGAAGGGCTTTGGAAAGAGAAATGTGCATTCATACACATCAGAATCAAAAAACAATTGGTTTGTTGTTTGCCTAGGCAGTGAAAAATAAAACTTCATTCATACTACTGAAATTTCAGATATCAGACATACAGTATATCTAAATCTGTATGGAGTTAACCAAGTTTTCTGTTCCTGTGGTTCTATATGTGTAGCTATCATCTATGTATGTTACAGGCCTACTGACATCCACAACAACACTTGTCCCAGCTTCGACAGTAGTCTGCTGATGGCTCCTGAGCAGTAGCTGCTGCAGCTCCTCCAGGGTCATATCCACGTTCTCCACTGCTTCTGAAACCTCCACTCTGCAAACACACAGATGCATGCAGACACAGAGTCACTTGTTCACTATAGTGTCCGGTTTTGTCTTTACAAGCAGCTGTGTTCACATCACCATCATCGTTATCATTCTCTATGCATGTGTCTGCCTGTGAAGTCGTGAGCACATACCTGTCCACGATAGGTCTGTTACCCATCCTCTCTATCACAGAGGCAGCTGAGCCCCTCCCCTCTAGAACAGACTGGACCATTGAGACAGGAAGTACAGGGGGTTCTGTGGCGCACACCTCAGAGGAGGAGGTCAACACTACAGCCTCCCCTCCTCCTACATTCCCTCCTCTGACTCCTGGACTCACAGGCTCCTCTTTGATGAACATCATACACTTCTCCCTGTTAGTAGAGTCAAAATAGTGTAAATGCTAATGTAGCGTAAGTTGGGCCAACAAAACTCTGAAACAAGGTCTATTTTGTTCACCATGTTCTAACAGACTAGAGAACCTTTATTAAGGTTCTTTGCATCAGTGCCATTCAACCTGATTATGATTACGACCCAATAATTCTTTAAAAATCGTTTTACAATATTTTATTTTAGAAATGGTTCCATAGATTCGGAGTTTATACCCTTTATAATGGGAACCTGTAATGTTATATTGATGAAAATCATGCAGGAAATGGTAAAGATGTTCAAAAGTTTACATTAAATAAATCCATTCAAATGTGAGAAAAGTGTTATTAGCAACAGAAGGGAGTAGTCTGTTGTTTAAGCAATTGTCGTGGCATTATTATTAGTATTAACAGCAACTCACTGGGTGTCATCAGGCTGCATCTGGAGAGCCATGCTGGCCTGAGACATGTCAGTAACATCTGAAATGATTGGTCCTCCTGTCAGCCCACTATTAGAGCAAGAAGCAGTGTCACTGGGTGGCTGAGGAAAAAGAGGGGAGGACTGTGATGTGTTTGTTTTTGGCCATTTTCTCCTTCTGCAAAAACTCTGCTTACCTTTTCTCTCAGTTTCATTGAGTTGCCAATTTAGATTTAATGAAGTTGCTGGTAATCTAACAGTACAATTTCACATTAGACCTATACTGTCCTACAAAACATGATAAATACATATGTAGTCAATGCTGAATAAAAACATTAAAAAACAAATTCCTTTTTGTTTTACCATATAAAAATAACATGGCACAGTAATGTATTTTCATGTAGACAGCATATAAAATGTGCAACCACAAAATGAAGATAAAAACCAAGTCAAACCACAGTAACTGCACTTAAGATGTGCATTTACTACATTCTGGTTTTGTAGTGCTGCCCAGGCAGCACTCACTGCAGCCTACTCTGGTAATATCTGGCCTCTAAATCCACTGTTGCACTTACCATGCTCTCACAGAGAAACAGCCAAAGTTAAAACACGCTGGTGAGATAGCCATCAGCTAGCCTTAGGCAAAAATATCAATTTTGAGTAATTAACATCTTGGTAATTACAAAATGAGGCATCGGCTAAAATCTGAGCATGAAGGAGAAAAACACAAAACGGCTAAACAAATTAGCATTACGAGTCTCCCTTAATCTCTATCTCAGCTTTTGAGACAGTTTTTTTGGTTGGTTAAGTTACCTTTAAAAGACAAAAAATATTTTATTGTAGATTCATCTTTGTGATTTCAGTACAAATTTTAATAGTAGAAAGGCAGACACACAACACACCATAAATAATAGACATAGATAATAAAGATAAATAATAATCCCTATGATACTATAAGTAATCTAAATTAAAAATCTTATCTAAACTTGTTCATGTGGCCAAAAAGCTAAAGAAGCACCCTTTGACTGTATGAACTGCACTAGACCTTTGCATTCTGTGAGGCAGAGTGCAGTAAGTGTATTTTATTAGGCTTCAAATATGGTCTCTGCCAACAATCACTTCAATGAAGTCAAAGCAAGTCATAGCTGATACAACCTGTGCAGTACACACAGTCCTCCAAATCTGTCACTGTGCACTGCTTCCCTCTAGTGTTGCTCTAACATAACAGCTACAGTAGACTGATGGCTGCAGGGTGTTACAGGAGACTTTCAACCCCAAATTACTTCTACTATTACTGCTACTACTATGATCTTAATCATATACTATAAGTGATTTTTTAACTGAAGTGATTATGGTGCAGCTATACCTTTAAACAAATATTTTTATATGAGGGGTATAATTTGCACATTTTCTTACCGGCTGGATGTAGAAGGGCTCCTGCACTGGCTCCATTGGGTGACTATGGCTGAACTTGGAGGTACTAGGTGGGCTGGGGGAGCCATCGTCCAACATCAGGGGTCTGCAAGAAACACATCTGCAGTCATAACAGCTCAATGAATGGCATTATCTTGATCTTGATCGCCCCAAGCAAAAAAATAAGGATAACTTACTGTACATACTGTGGATTCTGTGTATATATACACAAACTGTATATGTACTGTATATACAGTACCATTACAGATGGATGTTTTATTTATACATCTATTCAGTTCACTTTTGACATTTTCCTGTTTTTGTAGGTGCTGAATTGTATAGCTGTTGGATGTTTATGTTTACTGTATAATAACTGATATTTGTCACTACTTACACTGAATTTCTTTGTCACAAAATTCCAGATGCATGAAAACATTTACAAAAGATCATCAGCTCCCTCTGATTCAATTTCTGATTTTATTAGGTGGCAATTGCTGCTGTTAAGTTTGAAATAACATGCTGTATTATCATATTATTTAAGACAAGTACCAATACATTTTTTAAAACCATTTTAACATTTTCTAGGAATATATTCTAGGTAAAATATCTTCAGAAGAAAGGACATTCTCATCACCATTCTCATCTTCAACTGTACTTTGTGTTTAGTGCTGACACACTAGGTGAAGATAGTGAAGTTTATACCAGTTAAACATTAGCATGTTGGCATCGGTTATTGGGATTAGCATTTAGCTCAAAGCAGTGTACAGTACATTCTCTCTCAGAGCCACTATTTTTTTGTCTGTTTAGAACATTAGCATTGGAAATATGACAGGAATTGGGAATTGGGAATGGGGATGAGTGAGCCATGAGAATGGGTGGAGCGCATAAAGATGCTAACCACAAATGGACATTCAGGAAGAGTATGAAAGTCTCAAGGCTGTACACACAGATAAAAACATCAGCTAAATGAAACCTTTGCTAGAGAGCACACTCACTCGGATATATATGCTCCTTTAGCACTTTTGTGCTCTGGTGAGCCTGTCCTTTCTCATTTTGGCCTTGTTCACACTCAGCGGCAAAGCTGAACCAGCATTTTACACACACACACACACACACACACACACACACACTGCTTTGCCTACACTGTGTGTGAATACATGAGTGTGTGATTCAGCACTTGTCTCCATTCACATCGCTTGTTGGGTTAGATTGTTCAGTTTGTCAGCTGAGCCGGCCCCTCCCTCTGCACCACTGAGACCCTGTTTGTGTCACTTTTGTTCATCACTCCACTGTGGTCACACGTATGCATGTACTCACAACTTTCGCTTTAAGCCAACAGTGCTGGGTGTGTTGGACTGCATCTGGTTGAGCAGAAACCGAATCAGCTGGCACATAGAGAAAAAGCACAGTATGAATCATACACACACGCTGTGCCATTATATCCTTAATCCTTAATTAAATATAAAAGCAGAAAATAAAAATCTGTTGAATGGCCCCCAGCCCAGCCTGTGTCATCTTCACCAACATGTTTGTGATCCTGTTATATGAGGGCCTGACAGACTCATGAATTCTTTTAAATTTCACAGGGATTTATTAGGTACAATACTTAGTTTAAAAAGTATCAATAATATAATACAGCTTATGGTTTTGTAAATATGCCCATTCTTTAATTAATCAAATATGCAGTTAAAATGTCTATATTATAGTCTGAACATCAAGATGGGTCCCAATTCAGTAAATAATCCAATGTTAGTAAGAGTGGGTTGTAAAAGTAGGCCTAATGAAAAAATCCTGAATTCTCTGACTGCTGAAGAACTTTCCCTTTGCTCTGAATAGAACTGTGACCATAAAAACATGTCCATATCTGGTGGTGTAAGGAGTATTCAGATCTTTCACCCAGGTAGAAGTAATATCACCAAAACCCTGCACTCAAAATCCTACCTCCATAGAGAACCAGCAAAATTTACTTTTAGAATGTCTAAAGTAAAAGCACTCATGTTAAATGGCCCCTTTTAGAATGTAAAGCGATTTGGGAGTACAAATATCAGGATGTAATTCTCTTTCAATTGTTTCATTATGATTCAGCTATGACTCTCATACCATATAAACACACACACATACACTGACCTTGTTTATAACTTTTTGCTGCTGCATGTGATTCTGTCTCAGTGAGACCACCTCTCTCCACAGCACTTCATTCTGCCTGCAGACAGGAGAAGGAAGATATAGAGAAGTGAAGGAGAGCAGAAAGAGAAACAGAGAAAACAAAACCATGTTTAGTAGAAATTTTGATTTGTTTAAAAATTGTTTTCACTTAAAAATCTCAAGCCGATTCATTTGAATATAGCTTGATTTCCTGGTTTCTTTTTCCCTATTCGTGCCTTTAAATTTAATCAGCACCCCTAACTTTTTCACATGCTGTGTGCCCCAGAATGTAAGCACAGAGAAACACTAAGTTGATCAAAGAACTTGTGGTGATGAAGGCTGACTGCCGCATTGCCTCACGTCACCTTAGTTGGGACAGTAGTGTTGTCAGCCCAGTGTTTCAGTTGTGAATGAAGAAAGGAAGGCATGGAGGCAAAAAATGAGAACAAACCATACTAAGCAGGTAAAATCATGGATGCTACAGCAACAAGCTCAAGGGCCTTTCCAAACTGTTCTCTTCATTGAACAACCAGTCAGACAGGGTCCGCCACCAATTCAACCTGTTGAATCAGCTGAAAAGCCGCTCATAGGGTCTGACTAAGTGCCAACAACGAGGGACACACTACAAAGACCAGGGCAACAGATGCTCACTGACAGCCCAACAATGGCCCATGGCCCACTGTCATCTTGGTGTGTTATGGGCCTAAATGATGTTCTTTCTACACAGATTAGTCTAATTAGATTTCATTGCTTACATATAGGAATTAGCGCAGTTCTTCCATGGAGATTTACTACATTTTCTTTCCTTAGTGTGTAATGACTGAACAACAGCTGTGCAAAATTAAATAGTGATTGGTGTAAATCAGTGACTCAGCACTTCAAAACAAGTTTGGGTCCATATGTTTTGAATATTTCTTAGTGATAACACATGTAGCACAAACACACTAAAAACTGTTTAATATCCACCAAATTCTGGATTTGAATTTTAGAGGTAATATTTTTGAGATGTTTTAATACAGGTGTCACCTACTAACTTGGCACTGAACATTGTGCCCATCAGCCCTGTGTGGCCATCCTCTTCCATTAATCTTTATATATACCTTATATCAGAGGATGACAGTATTTCTATGGATGACTGTGATTTTACTCCTTCTTCTACTCAGAGTTGATTATTACAATCAGTCTAATTTTCCCTCTGATTTCCTCCTCTTTTGTACAGAAGAGTCTCAGTTATTTTTGTTGTCCCACTGTGTGATGGCACCATGGTAGGTGTAAATGACTCAGCTGCTAATTACACCACCTGGCTGATTCCCCATTGGGCGACTCAGGAGCATTGTCATAGGTGTATGGTGCCTGGAGAGCAGTCCCTGACTGGGACCTTAGGAGTGACTTGTTGGTGTTTTTAGGATTGTCTTACAGACTTTCTAGGACATTCAAGTGAAGTCAGACCATCTCAATATACTAGAAAGTGGCAGAACATTTAATAGGAATTGAGAAGAAAAGCGCACATGCCATGAACTAAAAAAATTTTCTCTAAGCTTTCTCTGTTTTTCTGTAAAGCAAAAACCTATTAATCGTGGTGATCCCCTGGCATTTTCTCTTGCATCAGCATGAGACTGACTGTTCTGGCTTTCTGTGAAATTTTGATATTTTTTAACAACTGTTGGATGGATTACCATGAAATTTGGTTCAAACATTTGTAGCCTCCATAAGATAAATCCTAATGACACCGGTGATCCTTTGACTTTTCTAGTCCCACCACAAGCAGATCAAGGTTTTCACATGCCCAGTTAGATGGTATAAACATTATACTGGCCTAACCTCAGCATGTTGGCCCTGCCATAGTGAGCACGCTGACGTTAACATTTAGCTGAGCCTCACAGTGGTGCTAACATGGCAGTGGACCATCATATGTTTGTGAATGTTACTCTCCTTCTGCAGGAGACAGAAATCTATGACCCATGTCTGTTTGGGAGTTTTTCAGTTCAAACTCAACATTTATGAAATAGACATTTGCATAGTGGTCATGCCAGTGTCTTGCATTTTTGGGGCTCTGGCAAGATCTGTCCATCCTGCTTAGTGAAAAGGTGGACAGGGAATGATGGATCATGTTTTTGACAGTATGCATCTTCTGCTTACCCTGTAGAGGCAGGTGAAGGGAGCTGCTTATTTTCAGTTCTCCTGTTTTAAGATAAGGTTTACAGCCACCTAGCATATTTACAGTCATGTTGGATGCCCCTCCTTTTTTGGGTTTTCAGGTAGGACAGGTAGAGGGTGGCAGCTTGCTCCAAACCAAGTTTTTACAGAGCTGAATATTACGTTATCATGTCATGGCAGGGGTTACTTGCAGTTAAATGTATACACCAGTGAGAAGGTAAAGTCTGTGTTACATAGAACAAAGGTTATAAATATTTAAGCACTGAATTCTGTGTTCATGCATCCATCATTTCTGCACTTCCAACATTTTGGGGTTCTTTCGAACAATTTAGGAACACAAAAACTCCCACTCTGACTTTTGCATCTTTCATTGTATTTAAACACTTTTTTAATTAACACCACAAAATATAAAAGACAAAGGTCTGTGGTGGAAGATTTTCTAAAAGCATTGCATTTATACATTGTCATACATATGGATGTGTACACTGCATCCTTTCTAAGAATGTCCATCCATCTATTTTCCTCCGCTTATCCAGAACCGGGTCGCGGGGGCAGCAGTCTAAGCAAAGATGCCCAGACTTCCCTCTCTCCAGACACTTCCTC